AGGGTACCCTGGAGCCCGAATGCGGACACGATGTGCATGCATGTGGGGGTTTCCGAAAACAGGGGACCCTGGTGTAGTATGATTATGAGGACCCCAAAATAAGGTACCTCTAGTTTTCGGAAACCACCATGTGCTGCAAAGGCATTCTAGAGTGCGGAGAGTGGATTCTCCACTCTTGGGCTTGGGTGCAGTCCTCTCCCCAGGGGTCCATGTACTCGTGTAGTATATACATTGGCCTTAAAAAACTCTGTATATAGGTACATTGGGCCAAAGTATATGCTATATGGCTACATGGACCCATAGGGTGTGCGACAACTGCAGCATCCTCTAGCGTCCAGAACAAAGACCAAAATTACTGCGTCGGACGGACCCTTGAAAGGAACCCCTAAAGAGCTCAAAGGAATCCTTAAAAGGGACCCTTGAGCCTGCACTCTCCTCAAGCTCGAGTCCCCAAATGACCTCCACACAACCTCGAAGACCCATAGACTCTAGACTCTAGACTCTAAACCCCCCAAAACCCGCAAGCTTGTTCTAGCGGGTGGAAAGCATCCTCGCCAAGAGACGCGAAGAGGTGGGTAGTTTTCAAAATTATGGTCCCTAATTGGGTACCCTCAAAAGGGACCATAGTCTTGAGAACCACCCAGGTGTTTCCTATGTTGTGAGCTTCGATCCAGCCGCCAAAGCCTCAGAGCAACGGGCTTCAGCGTGGCAGCTGTTTTGGGGCTCTTGGATGACCAGGTCGAAGGGGTTGCCATGGGGTTTGTATAAGGGTTTGGGGTTCGGGGTGTGAATTCATGGCTTCGGGTTTGTCTAGCGTTTCTGCGAGGAATTCTTGAACCCTGAAAGCACGTAACCCTCAAGCCAAGGCCCTCGGCAATAGCTTTCCCAGCGTCCCCGCGCCCCGAAATGACCCCAAGCCTCTAAGCCCAAGCCGTTTCAACCCTTGGGCTCTCAACCCCAATATCCCTACTAAATTATGAAATATACTTTAAATTCTAATAGAAGCCCTAATATGATCTAAGGAGTATTCCTTAATTAAGGGATATTTGGAGCCTTCAAGCCTGAAGCCAATGACCGTCTCAGGGTTCCTATCCAGAATTTCCCTGCTAACCCTAGCACCTCGAATTCGGAATCTCAAACCAGAGACTCCAATATCCCTTAATTGAGGAATATACCTTAAAATATAGTAGGATCCTTAATATAATTGAAGGTATATTCCTTAATTGAGGGATATTGGAGTCTCAACCTCAACCAACCCTCTGTTACCCAAGAGCTGCAACCAGAACTTCGATCCAATACGTCCGAAGAAGCAGCAGCCATCATGAGCAATAAACTGACCTTTGGCTAGTAGGGAATGGAGGAATGGGGCACAATCATAACTACTATTACTAGCATTCTTCCATTCCCTACTAACCAAAGGTAAGTAAAGAAACACACAGAAACCATGTACACATCCCAGAGGACAGCAGACAACCCGATCAAAGAAACCCTTTTAAAGCACCATCGCCCGAAACATTTACACGATTTAAAGCCCAATTAAAGGCTTGCTTCAGCCCTATGCAGTTGAAGGCCACATAAACCCAAACCCAAGCCCCCGAACCCTAGACCCTTTAAAACCACATAAAAGCTCTTAACCCTGAGCCCCTTTAAACCACGTAAAAGCTTTAAACCCTAATCCCTTTAAAGCCACATTCAAGCCCGCCCCTCTTAAAAAGCCCTGTAGTAAAGCACCATAAAACCCTAAAGCCTCAACCCTAACCGCAAACTCCACGAACCCCTAAACCTTAAACCCTAAACTGCAAACCCTAATTCTAAGAACCCCTAAACCCTAAACTGTAAACCCTGACTCCAGGAACCCCCACACCGCAAACCTTAACCCCTAAACTTCCCTAAACCCCAACTCCCTAAACTCTAAACCCTAAACCCTTAAACCCTTAGCCCTAAACCTTAAACCCCAACTCCAGGCCTCCCTGGATGGGCATGTGCACCGAATTGGCCGCTGTGGCCGCGGTGGAAGCCGCGGCCGCGCTTTTGCGTTCCTGGGCCCCGAGGCTGCCAGAGATACGGCTCAAACATAGGGCTTACTTGAAGGCTCATGTGACTTAGTAAGTAAGGTTATAAGTAGGTTATAATTAGGATAACCCCCTTAGGGGACTTATAACCCCAATTATAACTTACTTACTAAGTCCCATGATCCTCTAAGTAGGGCTTACTTGGCGGCCCAGAGGGGTTAGTAAGTTCGGTTATAAGCAGGGTTACAGTTGGGTAGCTCATTTAGGGTACTAATAACTCTACCTATAACCTACTTGCTAAGGCCCCCGGACCTCTAAGTAGGGCTTGCGGTTTATATGGCTTATTTAGGGTTAGGGCCTACGGCTGATGAGGGCTTATTGGGTTTATAGGGCTTAAGGCTTATTCGGGCTTAGGGCTTATGGTTTCTAAGGCTGATTCATTAGGGTTTCGGGCTTGGGAAGGCTCATAGGGTGTATGGGGCTTTGGGGTTAAGGCTGATTAGAGTTTAGAGCTTAAGGTTTGCAAGACTTATTAGGGTTTGAGGCTTTTTGGGGTTTAGGGCTTAGGGGCTTAGTGTTTAAGGCTTAGGGTCTAAGGCTTATTGGAGTTTCGGGCTTGGTGTTTAGGGCTCCGGGCTCCAAAGATGTTGAATAATTGCTCATTGCGAAAGTTAGGATTGGTATTCCTTAGGGTCCTTCCATGATTCCAAATGTTTATGACAATGCGAATAGTTCATCAGCTGTTGTGAAAGCATTCGACCGCCTTGCCTGAACCCGAAACCCGTCGCCCCAAAGCCCCTAAACACCACCCTGACGTTGCTTTCGACGACTTCGGTTGATGATATAGCCTGCATTACCCATAATAAGGAATATACCATAATTCCCATAGTTTAAGGTCCTTAAGGTAATGCAGGATTTATATCATCAACCGTTGCGTGCTCGGAAGGACGTATCCTATGCGCAGCTCCTTTGCGAATCCATGAAATCGTCGGGCCAGGCTGGTCTGTCCAAGGGTAAAAGGTGGGACCCTTAATCAGGACCCCTAGGTATATACCCTTAGCGTAGCTATTATATATATATATATATACCCATTATATAGCCCATTATGGGGTAGGGGTCCCCATTAAGGGTCCCTCCTTTTCCCCTTTGGGTCTGTACTACCCAAAGTCTCCATTGTAGTTCCTTTTTTTGGTTTAGCCAAAATCTCTCCTAACCATAAAAGTTGGTTAACCAAAAAGGAACTACAATGGAGACTATAGGTAGGGCCTGATACGAGGGTCGGAACAGTTAGCCGTAGTATTGCCCTTTTTTCGCTTGAAAATCACACTGCTATATGGGAGGTTCCGAAAATTGGGGTAGCTTATTTGGGGTCCTTATAACAAGGATCCCACTGTGTAGAGTGCGAAATTAGGGTCCCCTATTGTCGGAAACTCCCACATAGAATATGCCAACAAAGCCAGATTCGAGTTCTTAAGGCCCTTACACCGGGTAACTTCATGTTTTGTCGGGGTGAGATCTCGAGTTGAGGTTCAATCGCTTGCTGGTTGAGGGCTAGGCTTTTGGGGCCACGGGGTAGGAAAGCTATGCAACGCTTCACGTGCCAAGTAGGCGCTGCCCTGAAATCCCAATGCCCGATGCCCCGAATCCCAAAGGGTCCTGAACACCTGCTATTATTGTAGTTACTACCGTCTTAGTAGCTGAGTGGAGAATTACACTTTACGCTTCTTGGGATAATATTACCCAATATGAAACTAAAAGTGGCGGATCAGGGGACTTACTAAGTAAGGTTAAAGGGACCCTAATTGGGGTTATAAGTACTTGTAAGTATAGTTACCTATAAGTATAGTTACAATATTTATACCCTAGTTACTAAGTCCCATGATCCTTTAAGTAGTTCCCCATGATACCCGACAAGTAGGGTTCTGTCCCCCAGCCCCTGTGAGGCGGTGCCGAACGACGTGGCTGCCATTGCAGCAAAGCCGTGCCTTACCAGCTTTGGGTTATGGAAAGGTTATTTCAGGGTGTACCGTTTAAGGATTTAGGGCGTATCCTTACACTTAAATCTCTAGAATTTGGGAGTTTAGGTGTTAGGGGTCAGGGTTTCAACCCCGACCAGCTGTCCAACACATGCGAGTATGTGGCAACGCGCCTTGAATGCGTCGACCGGGAGCAAGTGTCGTTAGTTTCCTGGTTGTATCTTTTCTTCTCTCGGTATTAATCTCCATATCCATTCAAATTACTATTGCTGTCCTTCGTATTATTGCTATCTTTGTCTAAAGCTCATATGACTACCATCCTGACCCACTCGTGCTGGCTCTGCCTGGCAGGTGCGATGCTTCGGAGATGGTGCGTCACCAGAGGAGATGCCTGCGAAGTGGGAAGCGCAGAAAGGAAAAAGCCCACTCAAGTTTCAGGATGTTTTGGGGTTTGGGGTTTAGGATTTCAAGACATTAAATGTTGACCGTGGTAGTTTCTCGTCTACAGGATGGGTGCTTTTCGAGTTGTGTGACTTGGTTTGAGCTCGCTTCATCTTCTGCTTTGTTGCGCCTCGGCCTCTCTTCAGCATTTATGCTCTCAGCAGGTGTCGTTTGCCGATTATAATCGCTTGCCTTTCCACATGTATCGATTCGCGCCGGCGGTGCCGCTGGCCAACCTGGTCTTTCTTCTGGTACATAGCCTTCGGCCTACTACAGACTCTTGGAACGGAGATGCTGTCCTAGGCCCAGAGTCTTGATGATTCGAAACTCTACGATCAGCTTTCCGACTCCCACTCTAGAACTGAGAGCCCTGAGACATCTTCCTCGAACCCGAGTACCCAAGTCCTCAAGCGTCCAGGCTTGCCACATGCAGTTTCGGGTCCAGTTCGTAGAAAATTTTGGGACCCAAAAAGGACATAAGCATAAGCCTTTTTTGTCGGGATATCCCTACCTTATTGGGCTTGATTATAAGGGGTTATATATGGGATATCTCTATCCTATTTTTTTGCTTATGTGCCTTTTTTGGGCCAAGGATTTACACGGAGATGCACTCCATAACGCCACGGCGGGGGTAGACTTGCCACGCACCTGCGCAACCCGGTCGCCAAGGCAAAGCTTTTGGTTTTGGTACGGTTGATGATATAAATCCTGCATTACCTTAAGGGCCCTAAACTATGGGAATTATGTTATGTTCCTTATTATGGGTAATGCAGGGTTTATAGCATCAACCGTAGAATAGGTGCCGTAGTGACTACCCATACTTTTTGGGGGTTCCTCATTACAGTTAGTATCATGAGCCGCAAGACCCTATTCTAATTATTAAGGCCCCTAGAGCATGTTTTCTTAGGTTTCTGTCAGACTTTTTGCTGTTCGGGTTTGGGGCTGAAGGTTTTGGGTATAGGGGTGCAGCAAGGCAGAGGAAGCAATCTCAACTGTTTGTTGTTCTTTTTGGGCTGGAGTGTGACCCCAGGAGAATCGTTTCAGTGGCAGCAAGTGCTGTGGGTGCGGACCCCCGCCGGAGGTACTAGGAAATCATGCCAAGGAGCGGTTTCGCATTGAAACGAACAAAACCTACGGATACATCGACCGGATGTGCTCCCGAGCGACGAAGCCAGACGACCTCAAAATATGCTGCCCTATTTGGGCAGTGGATTGCAACGAGGACGACTACTACTTCGAGCATGGGCTTGAGAGAGACTGTGCCCCAAAACCATGGCAGTGCACGCACTATGAGTGCAGGGATGTCTCACGTAAACTCAAGAGCATGGAGGACGAGTACCAAAATTTCCGCACCGATGTATCTGATACCTTGGCAGAACGGCTGCGGAAGGAATCGGATGCAGGTGTGACTGGCCACGGCAGGGTTTGCAGCTGTGCTTGCGGTGAGCTCGTGGACGAAGATAAGTTGACTTGCAAAGTAGTGATCCTTGGCAGAACTAGCTTTGCTGAGTCTGCGACGTCTGCAGCATTCTGCACATTGCACATATGCCGTCCCTGAAGCAAACTGCACTCAAGGCTCGCTTTTTGTGTGGATGTTTCCTGCTGTCATTTTGCGTATGTATCGCAGCTTCGTCGAACAGTTTGAATGGCTGATTGACACAGAACATGTCCGTCTCTGCTGCCAGCATCTTGATTCCACATGCTGGCTGGAAACTGTTGATGCACGCACCTACGGAAACGTGCGTAAACATGCATGCATGCGTGTATGCAGGCATGCATGTATACATGCATCCATGTGTTTGTGTGTGTGTGTGTGCATGGCATAATGCCCTGGAATGGAATGAAACGCGTTGCTGTGCTGTGCAGGGCACTGCAAGGAAGAGAGTGTGATGTAAGTTCAATGTAATGAATTGTCTAGGCATGCACACATACATGTAGCTAAAGCTACTTTCGTAGGCAGATGGGTTAGATAGGTAGGTAGGTAGGTGGGTAGGTGGTTTTGCGCACAAGCGTGTGAAGAACAGCAGGATGAAACAAAGCTTTGTACTTGCATGTATACTCCGAATCCTAAGCCTTAAATACCTACCTACATACATCCATACATACAAAGATATACATACACATGCACATGCACATGTACATATTCATATACACATCTACATACACACATACATACATACATACATACATACATACAGACATGCATGCATGCATGCATACATACACATATGCATACGTACAGGCACATTGTTGCATATGCATGCGTGTATGTGTGTGTGTGTGTATATATATATATATATGTTTGCATACGCACACACAATCAGTGCGCTTTTGTTTTCGTAGCATTTCGTTTCTCGCCCGTTTCCTCCTACGAACAAGTATGGAGACCACCATTGCTAATTCCGAAAAGGGTATTCGACATAGGGTTTGTAATGTCGAAGGAGGGTTTAGTTTCGCTTATGCCATCGACAAAGCCTTCAGGACATCACGTGTTTTCACGATGACTGCGGGTAAATTCAGGAAAGCTTAAGAGGAAGCCGAACGTGAGTTGCATTGCAGCACCAAAACAAGTGCGGCAGCTGTTGTTGTTCTTGTTTTTATTTGTACACTTACCCGTATTGTTAGTTGCTGTCCGTATCGTCTTGGTCTCTGGACGATGCCACTTCTCCTCCACCTGTTGGGGCTGTTGCTGCTGGCGCCGTAGTCGTTGCAGTTGTTGCCGTGTCGTAGAGGTCGATGATCTCCTCCTCCTCCCTGTAGGGTTTAGGTTCAAGAAGTAGCTTATAGCTGTGGTAGTGGTTATTGTGCTCTGATGTTGCCACTGTGCTTGCAGTTGTCTCGCATATACTTATAGCCCCAGTCTACCTATTCCGGCACCGATATTATGCCGTAGTCTTCCTGGTTTTCGCCGTCGCAGCAGCGTAGAGTTTCAAGAAATCACCACGCTTCTGCAAAGTGAGTTGTTTAGGTCGCAGCAGTTTATTTGTCAAATACGTCCTTAACCGCATCCACATCTGCACCCTCGATCCCAAACCCTACACTCCCTAACATAGGGGCCCAAATAGTTACCTACACTATGTTGGGGGCTCCTTATTACTTACAAATATAATATAATGGGCTCCAAAACCCAATTCTAGTTATTAAGGCCCCTTTATTAGCACCCTGATGCCTAAAGCTACTCTTCAGGAACTCCTCCTGGTACTGCTCCGACGTCCAGCCGTGTTGTCGTCGCCTCAAGGAGGAGCAGAAAGCAGAGCTTGTGGGGTTTATGAGGGTTTTGGGATTTATAGTAAACCCCATAAAGTTGGAAACCGGATTAAGGCCAAATAGAGCTGGGATTCCTTATACATTACCCTTAAGGATTGAGGCTATTGGGTTTCAAATGTTTAGGCTTCTACTTTAGGGTTTGTTAGGGTGTGCAGGGTGTTTCGGGGCCTCATTAGCATTATGAGGTTGTTGATCAGGGTGTGTGCGATTCCATTCGCGTATTTATTGTAGGGTGTGTCTGAGTTTCAATTAGACTCCCTAAACTCTAAACTCAGTCTTGTTAGGACTCGGAACTTGAGGCTTGCAGGTCAGTTGACATACTACAGCAGATCCACTACGTATTCCGAATATTTCGGCCTCTAGATCAGCTCGATGTAAGAAGATGTAGTCTATTTGTGCAGCTGGCCTTTTAGGTTGACAGTGTCGGATGCATACTGAAGCAAGTCTAAGCAGGCAATGATGACATGTTCGACAAAACTGCTGCGGACGACCATGTTCCCCGCTGGAAACGATGATAATTTATGATTTCTGACTGACCAAATCCTAAATCCTAAACCCTCATGCAGCGCCTAAATCCTAAAGCCAGCATCAGCTTCCTTTTCTGCTTGTTCCTCTCCTGCAAGGATTGCGCGAAGGACAATCCCTGGCCGCAGGAGGTCATGGTCAAGACTCAGGAGGCAAGCTTTGTGCAGTTTTGCGCTTACTTGGGGATGAAGCACACGCGCTTTCAGGACTCATGCCTGATGCTGACTTATTTAACTATACAAAGAGAGAAAGCCGGTGTGTGTGTGTGTGTGCGTGTGTGTGTGTTTATGTTTGTGTGTGTGTGTGTGCGCTAGCGCTAGGCCGTCGCTGTTCACTGCTTGGGCAGCATTCCACGGCTTTTTCTTACCACTCTTTAGGGATTCTGATGACTGAGCAGATCTGACATTGCTGAGCCCGCAAAATCCCGCAAACACGTGTAAAATCGTGTAAACGTCAACCCGATTCGCAAGCCCTCAACTGCTTGCAGGCGACGCAAGCACAAGAACTGGATGCAGCAGAGAAGCACTTCGCAAGCATCTTGACGAATTAACACACAGGAATCCAGATCACAATCCCAGTGTTTGGGGTTTGCATGTATCCGTGGCAACCTCCACCCCTAAACCCTTTTCACACCCTTACTAAACTTTCTAAACTCCAAACCCCCAAACCTTCTACCCCTACAATTCGGATACTACCCCCACGACCTGTGACGGTTGGAAACTTTTTCCTATAGCAAAGATATACATACATGTATGTACATATACATATATATATACATATATATATATATATATATATATAATATCAACAAACCGCCAAATGCTATCCTACTCTTTAAGGCCCCTGTATTACCTGAGAGATCAGGCTGGAGCACAACACCATCTAGACCCTCGAATGTACTATCTTTCTTGGATGCCTAGTCTATGGTTAGGATCAAACTCAAAAAGAAGCCCTAAACCCTAAACCCTAAACCCTAAACCCTAAACCCTAAACCGATAACCAGGAAACGCTGCTACCTTGGGGTGTCTCGGGAGATCTCGGTTGTCCAAGCTCTGCAGTCTAGTGTTCTTTCACACTCCACACACGTCACGCAAGCTCTGGATCCGAAAATTCTGAACGCAAGGGTGAGCCCCCGGTCCGCAAAGGTAAGACTCCAGACTTCAAGCAATTACCTCCAACTCCAAGCAGAACTGCTCTCAGAATAGCTGCATGCAGCCCAAACCCTAAACCTCTATCACCCCTAAACCCGCATCCCTAAACCCTCATCCCTAAACCGTTAAGCCCTAAGGCCTAAGGCCTAAACCCCTAGACCCTAAACACTATTCTCTAAGCCCCACACCCTTAAACCCCTAAGCCCTACTCTACTTACTAAGTCTCATGATCCTTTAGGGAGTCCCTGGCCCTAAACCCGAACCCCTACAACACCTCTAACCCCTCCAAGAGGACTGTAAATCCCGACAGCCCTTTTGGAGCCCTAACCCTAAACCCTAAACCCTAAACCTGATCCGAGGTGCCATGCTCGGGACTCTACGGAAGCTGCTAGGCTCTGGAGTACCCCTATACCCAGACCCCCGGGGAGGATCTAGAAAGTAGATCCCTTCATTTGGAGCCCTATACTACTGCGGGTACGTTATACGAACCCGAATTATGGGATCTACTTGTTGGATCCTCCCGGGGGTCTGGGTATAGGCTAACCCTAAACCCTAAACGGTATAGGGTTCCTTTAAAGGAATCTATAAGGCTTCCTTGAAAAGGTTTAGGGTTGCTAGGTTCTGGAGTGCCATACTTTAAAACTGCTTGTTGGTCCTGTTCCTGAAAGGGATTAGGGTTTAGGGTTGAGGGTTTAGGGTTTTGGGTTTAGGGATCACTATATCAAATAAAATTGTATACTTTTTCTCCTTGGATTCTTCAAAGCTCAGGCTTACGCGCAGATGCAAAGCGAGTTGCGACACCTTGCGGAAGCTTAGGGGTACTTAGAAATACCTTTTTATTTTCGGCTGTTATAATCCCTAAGAAACTGCTAAAATGATATTTGTTGCTAGGTTCTGAGTTCAGTATAGGAAGTCCGAGTGTGTCCAAGAGCTCCAGACTGTGGTGGAGAAGGCTTCGACTCAACGTGAGCTTAGACCTGTCGTTTAGGGTTTATAGGGTTTATAGGTTTATAGGGTTTATAGGGTTTACGGGGTTTAGGGTTTCGGGTAAGGTTTAGGGTTGAGGGATTCGCGGATTGCTAAGTTCGGTGCAGCCCGAATTACATCAGGGCTCAATCTTGCAATTGCTTTCGGTGTTCATTATCCCGGCAAGTGCCAAACCCTAAACCTTAAGCCCCTAAACCCTAAACCCCAAGAACCTAAACTTTAAGCCCCTAAAGCCCTAAACCCTAAACCCAGTGCCTTTACAAGATCTGCCGAAGCTCCTGGAAACTGGAAAACCGAACACAACAGCACTTTCTGAATTTGGCCTTTCAGGTGTGCTGCCAGTGCCCTGGGAGTCCTGTTGCCTGAATTAAGCCTTCAAGGGTTTAATTAAATACGGTGCAGGGTTCCTTAAATCGCAATTGGCCGCTCGGGGTACCAGGCTCCCGCATGCAGAAGGCATCTCAGAATGCGCGGGCGTAGCCAAGGGCTCAGGTTTAGATTTGTTCTGTGCAGGTAACTTTCGGCAAAGACATCACAGTGCAGACGAAGTTGGAGGATGCGCGGTTTCAAATGCTGCTGGCATACAACAAGGCCTGTTCTATCGGCTGGTCTCATCAGGCCTTCAGGATGTGGCAAATATAAATACAACAGGTCAAGCACGGAGCCTCTCACGTCTAGACTGATGCTGCCCATTTGTCCTCATTGTTGCCAATATGCATAGCAACTGCAACCCTCGCCGTGCGGGTCAGAACGGTCAGAACGGAAGACGGTGTCGAGTCTGCTCTATAGCAACAAGCGTCGTTTGCACTGGTGTGGTGCTACTACCACAGGTACTACGGTTGATGGTAAAAATGTTGCATTACCTTACTGACCCTAGACTATGGGAAATATGGTATGTTCCTTAATGGGTAATGCAGGGCTTATATCAGCAACCGTAGTACAGCATGGGGTCTGCAAACGTTCGAAGCTGGAACCCAGCTCCAAAGCAGATGCTTCAAGTGGCACCCCAAGTTGACAACTTCATGCTTAATTCATGACGCATCATATGGGTAGTTGTCAAAATTATGGTCCCTTTTTGGGTGCCCTGAATATGAGGTGCCGTACTATATTAAGGAACCATAATTCTGACAACCATCCATATGATGAATCTCGATGCCTAGTCGCATAGCATCGAATCCGAAGCTCAGACTTGTGTTTTCATGTCTGTTCTTCCTCGCAGAAATCGCGAAGGACTTCAAACACCTCACATGCTAGACTAACACGGGACCCTTAAGCCCTAAAGTATTGCAGCCCAGACCTTCCAGAGACCTTCCAGAACTCTTACAGCCAAGCATGAAGGAACACCCGTCCGAAGCGACTTGGGAACAGACAACCCAGAACGTCTTCGACCATTTTGAGTACCAGCTTGGAAAAGTCAGGGAAGAGGAGCCGTATGTTTAGGGTTTAGCCCACATGGGTCAAGCTGGGGTTTCAAGGTGCCGTCATCTTGATGGAGATACACCGTTTTTATCGTAAGGTCTCCGGAGCTTGGCTTTCTACATCGGGTTTTGGAGTTATAGGTACTTAGCGTTTAGGAGTTTAGGGGTGTGGGGTTCAGGAGAGTGGGGTCTTTGACATTCCTCTTTGAGTGTCCTTAGCATGCCCTTCCAAGTCTGAGATGCGTCCTGCATGTAGTCTTGGATGCTGGAGAGCTGCAGGAGCAGTCCTCCCAGATAGCCATACCTGTATCCAAAAGTACCTGCTTTTCTGGGTGTCCTTATTAAGCCTCATTTCGGCTTTTATATCAGTCATTAAACAGGTAGGGTTTGGGCCACAAGCAGAGTCTCGGGTTTGTAGCTCATCGGAACTAGGGTGTTTAGGTTTGGTTAGGGTTTAGCATGAGAGGTTCAGTTGAAAGACAGGGTGATGGCATTCTCTAGAGGGTGGCGAACACGGTTCTCATGTCACATGAAAGAGATAATCCCAAATAATTGCCATATTAGTCCTTGGGTTTCCCTATTATAGTCAAAAATATAAAGGGGCCCAAGATCCTATTCTAATCACAAAGGCGCCTATACTACCCACCGATGCTAGCCTTCATAGTCGTGGCCTGTTCGCACTCCAGGCCCTAAGTGCTGCCTTCCTTTTGTCTCTGGGTTGCCGGAAAGAAATGTTGAAGATTCTGGCAACCACGGCTCTAGTATGCATATGTATGCATCGTTTGGGCTCTAAGTGGCTGTTTAAGTCGCATTAAGAGCTCGGAAGGCTTCATGTCATCACCCATCCAGGAGGAGCAGGTGAAGAATACATATAGAAAGACGCACCAGCTGGTCCAGTTGAAGGAGAACCTTGGCAAAATGCCTCCGGGTGCAGCCGTGTCACTACTGTTGTGAGATCTGCTAGCTACCGTGCCGTTAGTGCCCTTTTCTCATGCGCTGTCATCAGGTTTCTCGGGTCAACTACAATCATTCACTGGTCGAATCAGATTGCTCGTGGCTGCATGACGGTCTACTACTACTACTACTACTACTACTACTACTACTACTACTGCTACTGCTACTGCTACTGCTACTACCACTACCACTACCACTACCACCACCACCACCACCACCACCACCACCACCACCACCACCACCACCACAACCACCAGTACCGCCACGACCACTATTACTAGTACTACTACTACTACTACTACTACTACTACTGCTGCTGCTACTACTACTACTACGACGACTGCTACCACTGCTACTTCTACAACAACTACTACTACTGCTACTACTACTACTACTACTACTACGACTACCATTGCTGCTACTACTACTACTACTACTACTACTACTACTACTACTACTCCTGCTACTGCTACCACTAATAAAACTAATCACAATCGTAGCAATACACATACGATTATTGCTACTACCGGTATTACTGCTACTGCTGCCTCTGCGGGTACTACAGCTGCTGCTGCCGCTGTTGCTGCTGCTACTGCTACGGCCAGGGCTACTTGTACGGCGGCGGCCAAGGCTGCCGCTACGATTACTCATGCTACTGCTACTGCTGCTACTGATACTGGCCAAGACGACAACGTCTGCTCCTGCTAATTACAACTGCTAGTGGAACTACGACTTTCACTCAAACTTCTTTTATGCTTGCCAGTTGATCATGCGATGCAATCTTCAGGGATTGTAGTATTTACAGCTTTGCCTGAAAATTGTTCCTAGCATGTCCATGTTAGAGAGCTTGCAGGTTCGGTTCAACTCTAACTTCTTGTATACAGCACTCGCCACCGGCTGTGAAAGCTCAAAAACAGACAATGCCGTCTCTGTACGATCGCCGTTTACAAGTAACTTTAACCTCACGATTGAAACTCACATCAAAATATTCCCTGAGCCCTCGTGGAATACCACTGACAACAATCCCGATAACCCATCTTACTGACCTGCTAACTCAGCGTCCAAGCCCACGTGAAGCTCCTACCCAACATCCGTTTCGAACCCTTCCGGCTTACGCCCTGCCTTTCTTTCCTCCCCTTTAGAATCCCTATAAATCCTGTGAGCCTTGAACCCTCAGTGAATCCGTACAACGCCGATATCCTGCCCGGGGCTTCGAGCCTTTTGGCTTCCACTTCCCACGTGGAGGTAAGCCCCCAAACCGAAGCTCAGAAGACAGTAGTAGGGAGCCTCAATAATTTGAGCAGGGTTCGGGTGTATATAATGTCTTCTTACGAAGGAGCCTTAAGGCAAAATGCTGCTTAGTGTTCTTCCCCTAAACCCTAAACCCTAAATTAAGAGTGCTGCTTCGTGATTTTTCCGAGCCGATGCTAAGGATGCAGAGGACCACAGCGATCGCTGATGAGGGCTGCTGCGCCTGCGAGGCTTGGGTCTTTTGGGCTTAGGGTTTATAAAGTTTCTTAGGGGTACTTTGAAATAGTTTTCAATCTTTGGTGCTTATAATCCCTCAGAAACATCTAAAATTGTGATTTTTTGCGAGGGGTTTAAGTTCAGTGTAGGTTTAGGGTTTGTTTAGCGCTGATGCACATAAGGGCTTCGTCAGGGTCGAAGTTGTAGACTGTAGAACATGAGATCTACATGAGCATCAGCTCCAGACATTCGATGAATTTGCGTGCCTCTTCGCAAACGTAAGCACACATATCCAAACATGCATGCACATATGCATACACATGTATATGTGTATATCTGTGTACTGGACGGGTGCGATCATAAACAAGTCTCGAACGACGTGCTAGTTTGTCTGGGTTGAGCCATACTGCTGGCTGTTTGCAGGAGCTGAGCCAGGGTTTCAGATGGCTTGTATTCCTGGAGGGTCATCGGACTTAGTACGTAAGGTTATAAGTACTTTACTTGGGGCTACAAGTAATGATAGGTATACTCACCTTGTGTATAACCCTGGTTACTAAGTCCCCTGCTAGCATAATGCACGAATACATCTCGGGTTGCCGAGAGTCTCTCCGGTTTCCGGGTGTACGTCCTTGTGGGGTCTCACATTTACCTATACTCTCAATTTTTGTTCCGTTTGGGGAGTCATTTTAGAGGACCCTAAATATGTATTACACAGTTCGTGAAACCAAGGCAGGAATAGCAATGGAGACTATAGGTAAGGCTCGGAACCCGAGTCCAGCCAGAAAGAAAAGGCTTTCGCCTAGATATCGGCTTAAATCCTGCAGTGGCTGTGCAGCTGTTTGTAACAAGAGATAGGTTGTAGCACGGACGCAGGCTTTGAAGCTTTGTTCTATCAGCCATTCATGCGATCATGTGCTTGCTTTCTTGTCTGTTTATCTGGCAGCTATGTGTGTGTGTGTGTGTGTGCGTGTGTGCCATTACTGCGTTCATGTCGTGAGTCTCAATATATGCAAGCCTCTGGAATAATCAGCTGGCGGATGCATGAACACGGGGATCAACTGTACAGCTGCCTGGCAAACATACGCCCATTCCGGTGGGGAGGTAGGTGAATGCAACGGCAGTTGGAATAGAAGTACGCACGGCGAGAGAGAGAGAGAGAGAGAGAGAGAGAGAGAGAGAGAGAGAGAGAGAGAGAGAGAGAGAGAGAGAGAGAGAGAGAGAGAGAGAGAGAGAGAGAGAGAAAGAGAGAGAGAGAGAAAGAGCGAAAGAGCCAGAACTACAAGCCAAAAACGGTCCTCAGGGAACTTGAAGGACTGTTTCATGCCCCGTCCTGCAAATAGTTATTGGCTTATATCATTTGTTTGTATGTTATACCGTATCTTTGCATGACTGACTACGCAACCTGACAGAGGCCGCACTGCCGGGCAAGCGGTCGGTCATGGGCAAATACCCAACGACCACGACTTTCTGTGCGGCCAACCACTGCTCGCAGTACACGGGCCTAGCAGAAAAGCCTGCCTGCTACCAGGCAGTTTTGAGGGAAATTGGGGCTAGACTAGGGTACAGGGTCTAATAAAGTGGCCTTAATAATTAGAATAGGGTTTCGGGGCCGATTGTACTCTGCTTTGGATAAGGAACCCTCAAACTAGTATTGGTAATTATTTAGGCCCCTATATTATGGTACTGCTCTTCGAAGAGAAGGGATGTGGCCGGCTGTCATAGTGCTCGACACTGCAGGGGCAGGTCTTGACGCCTGGTGCGATGGAAGACAACATATTGCAACAGGAATCCTGCATGCAGTTCCTAGTTCCAGAGCCCGAACTCTAAACCCTCGACCCTAAACCCCCTGAATCCCCAAACCCTATACCCTGCACATGCACAAAAACCGCAATCAACACTTGCCGAGGATGCAGTCCGCTCCTCGCTACGGCTGATGGACAAAATCCTGCATTACGCATTATAAGGAATATACCATAGCTCCCATAGTTTAGAGTCCTTAGGGTCATGCAGGATTTCGTCCATCAACCGCAGGATTCTTTATTGAAATCTGACGGCGATACCTATTCGTTGGTGTTGTCAGTTGTCTGTGTGCTATGAAGATTCCCGTTATGATGCAATGGGTTCACTGTGCTCGCTAGTTGCTTGAACAACTCCAACGATGTTTAAGGGTTTGTTGGAGTAGCTGGCCTCTGGGGCTTCCAGGACCCCAGCAACCTCTATACTTCCCAGGCTTCGAACAAAGAGCCTCTGAAAAACAGCACAAAGGATGATGAGAGACATCAAACCCGACCAAACACAGTCCTCTGTTCAACGCTAGCCCTTAAACCTAAAACCAGCCTGAACCCTTAACCCACCCTCAACCTAAACCTGAACCCTGAAAAGTCCTGTGGCCTCCAGGTGCCGGGCATCTTCTGCGGCGTCAAACCCGAAGCCTGCCCTTCCGATACGAATTCCTTCGCCCTGACATAGGCTGCGGTGTTATCAAGGTTCTGCGAGGTTTCTATGAGGGTTCTATAAGGACTTACGGTATGACTTTCAGGTTTCAGGATAGTTTCTGGGTTTATCCGGTATATTGGAGTAAGAGTAGCGAAATCATCGCACTCGCATTGACACGATCCCTCGTTCGACTGCATCAATTGGGTCAAGCGTTTCTGCGCGATTGCACCGTCTTTCCGACTGTGCCATCACAAATGAAGCCCCTCAAATTCATGCACAGTTGCTCTTGGGAGCATCCAGAGAGCCCAAGAACCCTGAAGGCAATGCACTTGAGTCAGTTTAGACAGGCCCGTATCGCGTAGGATACTCCTAAATAAAGTCTTCGCGCCAAAACCCCATGCAAAGCAAGTAGACCACAACATCATACTAAAGAGTCGACCCTAAGCACAATGGGTTTTGGGCTTCCTGTGCATGAACCAACTGATGCTGGCCGGGAGCGCTCGCAAGCAGACAAAAAGAAGCCGCACCTTTCTTTAGAGTTCGGGGCTTGGGTGTGAAACTGGGTTTTAGTGGTTTACAGGTTTGGGGTTTAGGGCGTGAGGTGTTTGGGGGTATAGAGGTTTCGAGTTTAGGGTTCCGGGTTTAGGATTTGCTGTTCAGGGTTTAGGACGGAAGCTGCCAGCTCACATTTCCGATGCACCTTTCAACAAAGGGAAGGTACCTTGAATAGAAGGTCTTTTTTCGGTTTTCATTGCAACAAAGGGAAAGTACCTTGAATAGGAGGCCCTTGTTTCGGCTTTCAAGGTACCGTGGTTGCCCCAAATAATCCCGAGACTCCCGAAACCCTCAACCCTCCACCCCATGGAGAATGCGAAGGCATTCAGTTAGGAATCTCGCGGCTTCCTCTTGTTGGTTTCGGGTCTCGGCCGGGTTTGGGGGTTAGTTAAGGGTTTAAGGTCACTGTTTGAAGGTTTTGGCTTCAAGGTCATGGCTTAGGGTTCCGGGCCCTGGGTTTAGGCTGCTTCTACTATGATTGGTTCCTCAGCGCTTCCCTTGAGCCTTTGCCATGCAAAATGCATCATCAAACTTAGTGGAGCGCCGGCCCTCCGTAAACCCCTCAGACCTTCCAAAATCCTTCAACTAAGGAACACACCTCAAATCTTATTAGGGATCCTATTATAATTTAAGGTATATTCCTGAATTAAGGGGTTTTGGAAGGTCTGGGCCCTACGACCCTTTTCACATCCCAGCTCAGAAACGAAGCCTTGGTGGACCCTGAGCCCTGCACCCTGCACCCTCTACTCCAAACCCTAAGCCTAAACCCTAAACCCTAAACTCTAAAACCCAAAATCCCTAAACCCTAAACTCTAAACCCCAAAAACCTAAACCCTAAACCCTGAACCTCTAAAACCCTAAACCCTAAACCCTGAACCTCAAAAACCCTAAACCCTAAACTTGTTGGGCCCTAAGGCGGCTATGTGCCACCTTGCGGTGTCCAAAGCCTCCCGGGCCGTGTCGGTACTTTCGCGATCACACGAGGTCGCCCTGGGCTTAGGGGCTTACTATAAGGGGTTCCTTTAGGGTTCCTTTAAAGGGATCTATAGGGATTCTATAAGGGTATAGGGTTTAGGGTTTAGATTACTTGGAGGGTCGGGGGGACTTAGTAACTGGTTATTTTAGGGACTTATAAGTACCAGAACCCCAATTAGAGTCCCCTCCTGTGTACTTATAAGTCTACTTACTACCTACTTACTGAGCCCCCCGACCCTCCAAGTACGGTTTGTTCCGTAAGAAGAAAGGTTTAGGGATTTAGGGTAATTCAGGGGGTTCAGGGTTTGGGGTTCAGGGATTCTTGGTGGTGTGGCCTCAATCGGAGTATTTCTTGATTTGAAACCTTGTCTGAGGATAGAGGTGTTCTGACCTTGTCGGGAGAGGACAGTCGCAATGGCAGGCGGGCGTCTTGGTGCTGTAAGTCAATCATCCAAAACTAGCATCGGCAGGCAAAAAAATGTTCGAAAGAACAGGTTATGTCGCAATAGCCGAGCATGCAGCACAATAACCAATTAGTTGGGAAGATATGGTCAAGAGAGAATCCAATGCCGAATGATGCAGCAGCACTGAGGTGAGACCTTCAGCGAACCATGCACCCGACAAAGGAAAGTGTCTGCCGGCCTGGGGGCATTGAGACAAGCTCCTGCTGTCTACTAAAATGCAGGTAGGTCGGTTCCAGTCCACCCAAACAGAAAAAAAGGCTACGCAGTTCCGTAAATTTTAACTCATCGCAATTATTGTCGCAGGTCGTTCTGGCTTACGTGCTGGCTGATATGCTTGGCTTGACCAAGGACGGGCTTTCTGCAACCCCGGAGGGATGCATCATCGGAATCTTAAATGTCCAACCTTCCGAATCTGAAGTGTTCAGAACCCGTTCTTGGTTGTGGGGGTGGCGGAGGGAGGGGGTACGTATTCAGTATTGCCTGGAGCATGGAGAAGGCGCTAGTTCTGCGAGTTGAGTTCTTCCTACACCCCCCTAAACCCTAAACCCTAAACCCTAAAGCCTCTCAGCCTTAAGTTCTTTTTACGTAAGACCCCCTAAGCCCCAAAACCCTTAAAGCCGGAAGCCCCAAACCTTCGAAGCATCCTTCCTAAGCCCTAAACCCTCAAGCCCCTAAGCCTAAAACCCTTAAAGCCCCTAAGCCCTAAACCCTTAAAGCCCCAAGCCTTACACCCTTTAGCCCCTAAGCCCCAAACCCTTAAAGCCCCTAAGCCCTAAACCGCCGTAGGATCCTCTCCTGCTGAAGTTCATGTCGCAAAGTGCCGAGCGTGATGGTCGCTTTGCGGCGGCTGCAGAACTTCTGCAAACTCATCCCCAGGCTACCCCCAAGGGGTCCTAACGGTTGATGATATCTCCTTTAAAGGGATCTAAAAGGGTACCTTTAAGGGATCTATGAGGGTTTAGGGTATAAGGTTGATGATATAAATCCTGCAGTACCTGAAGGACCCTAAACTACGGGAATTATGGTACTTTTCTTGTTTTTGGGTACTGCAGGATTTATATCATCAACCGAAGTACCAACGTAAGGGTTCCTATAAAGAGTTCCTATAAGGGCTACCATAAGACTTTAAGAGTTCCTTCAAGAATTACTGTAATGGTTTGCGGTTTAGGGTCCCAAAGGGTCCTAAGTACCTAAAAACTCGTAGTAGAAAGTCGGGACTCTATAGTAGCAAGTACTACTCTGCTTTGGGTAAGTATCCCCCAAGGCCCATACAGAAACTTAGGACCCTTTGGGAGTCTAGGCATGTTCAGCCTTGGGGATTTAGCAAGATTCTGTGGGGTTCTACTGGGTTGTTATAGGTTCGGGTTCTCTGTAGTTTAAGGGCTGTCAATAAATTACCAATACTATTTTGGGGGGTTCGTCATTATAGTTATAGTATCATATACACCAAAACCCTGTTCTAATTATGAAGGCCCCTATAATACATTATTAGGTGCTCGAAGGACAGGTTTGGGCTTTAAGGTCTGCGGGGTATAGGGTTTAGGGTTTAGCGTTTAAGGTAGAGGGTGTATTGTTATTGAATGCATTGTATGGTAGTCTAAGGTAAACCCTATCCGCCCAAACCCTGATCCCAGCAAAAAAGCCCTAAGCATGTAGGAGTTTGTATTATGATTTGGGGAAGTATCGCTCATATACTCCTAAGCCCCTATAGATCCCTTTGGCTTTAGGTAAACCACCCTAAACCCTAACCCTAAAACCCTAAACCCTAAACCCTACAACCCTAAACCCCAAACCCTAAACCCGTGGATGTAGTTGTGAGAGCCGACTGTGGGCAGACCTAAAAGTCAACTCAACTTTAAAACAAACCCTAAACCCCAAACCCTAACCCCTCTAAAGCCTAACCCAACAAAAAAAGCCCAAAGCCAAGAGGCTGCCCTCATATAAACCTAAGCCGTAAGCCCCTATAGATCCCTTCAAAGGAACCCCTATAGATCCCTTTTGGCTTTAGGTAAACCGAACAGCCGAGAGCTTGGAGGGTCGGGGGACTTAGTAAGTAGGTAGTAAGTAGACTTATAAGTATCCTAAAAGGGACCCTAATTGGGGTTATGGTACTTACAAGTCCTTAAAATATCCAGTTACTAAGTCCCCTAAACTCTTATAGAATCCCTATAGATCCCTTTAAAGGACCCCTTTAAAGGAACCCCTTATAGGTACTAAGTCCCCCGACCCTCCGAGAGGCCTCCATGCAGCTTGCGCTGCTCAGCGCGCGCAACGGCTCCCCGGCCTGGGCCACAGCAGCAAACCTAAAGGCGAAGCTACGGGTTTTAGGGTTTAGGGTTTAGGGGTTTAGGGTTTAGGGGTTTAGGGGTTTAGGGTTTAGGGTTTAGGGCTTTAGGGGTTTAGGGGTTTAGGGTTTAGGGTTCTAGGGGTTTAGGGGTTAGGGCTTTAGGGGTTTAGGGTTTGGGGTTTAGGGTTTAGGGGTTAGGGTTTTAGGGTTTAGGGTTTAGGGGTTTAGGGTTTAGGTTGATGATATAAAACTTGCATTAACTTACGTAAGCACCCTAGACCATGGGAGTTGTGGTATAATCGTTTGAATTACGGGTAATGCAGGATTTATATCACCAACCGTTACCTATGTGGGGGATACCTACCCAGATCATAAGAGTAATTCCCACTACATTATTGAAACCTTACTTTCTACCATATAGCCGTTATAGCTATAATATAGGTACTCAGGATATTTTGGGAAAGTGGTTCGAAGTGTCGGAGTTTCAGGGTTTCGGGTGTAGGGATTTGAGGTAGGGATTTGAGGTTTCGGAATTTGTTTAGTAGGGCTTTGGGGCTTAAGGCTTAGAACTTTCGGGTTCGGGTATTTCGGAGTGCAGGTGTAGGGCTGAGGACCGAAGAGCTTCGAGTTTGACACTTCGCAGCTTCATGTGGGTGGTTGTCAAAATTATGGCCCTTTTTGGGGTACCCTAAATAATAGGTGCCGTACTATGATAGGGACCCAAAAAGGGACCATAATTTTGACAACCACCCGTGTGTCTAGCTGGCAGGTTGATTTGCGCACTAAACCAGGGAGACTGCATACTCTGTCGTATCATTTCTGGTGTGAGTAGCTCGACACCAAAACGTGCAACGCGCGCAGAATGGGTAGCATACGGTTGATGGTCTACACCCTGCATTACCTTAAAGACCCAAACTATGGGAAGAATGGTCTATCCCTGATTATGGGTAATGCAGGATTTATATCATCAAATAAACCCTAAACCCTAAAACCCTAAAGATCCCTTAAAGGAATCCCTTAAAGGTACCCTTATAGATCCCTTTAGGAGAACCCTGGGATTTTTATCATCAATCGTACAAAGGCCAGAAGAGAATAGGTCGCTGTGAGAGTCGCCCGAAACCGTTCCGGCTTCAAGCGTGAGGAACGTGAGTTAACCCAACGGCTCCATGTACCCATATAGTAGGTACTCAGGCTTTAAAGTAATCATATGGGGAAGCTCCTCAACAAGGACCCTGTAAGACCGTTTGTAACCACTGCTGAAGCCTCTAACGGTTGATGGTATAAATCCTGCGTTACCCATAATCAGGAATACATGGGAGTTATCGTATATTGCTTAGTATGGGTCATGCAGGATTTATATCATCAACAGAAGCATTTCTATAAAGCCCGCGCTTTTTTTGCTGAGGAAGTGCTCCGGTCTTTCAGCTCGTCCTCGCGGGAGCAGCATCAGGCCTCCTTAGGAAAGTCTGGGTTCCGATTCGGGGATTTAATTTACATTGCCATAATACGTAAGAAAGCCATATAATTGCCATATTCTGATTTAACTTACGTTGCCATGATATGTAAGATAACCACATAATTGCTATATTCCTCAACAAAAACTGAAAGTCTAAGCTCTGGCCGAAGAAACTTAACCTAAGCTAGCATAGCAGGGATCCGGGTGTAGTGTCTTAGGGATTAGGTTTAAGCTCTACGGATCAGGCTTTAGGGTTTAGGGCTCTACCCATAGGCTCCATAGTAAATCCTGTTTTTGGATTACCTTATAGGATTCTAAGTATAAACCTTTGAAAGGAACTACTATGGAGCCTATGGGTAGGGATCAGAACCCTAAACCCAAAGGCTCTAGGGTTCAGGGCTCTCTAGTCCTAAGCTCCGTAGCAAGAACCCGAAGTTGAATGGAGGAGGGACTTCGGTAGGCTTGCTGTGAATGCTTCAAGGGTTCCGGGGTTTGAGGCTTTAGGGTTTAGGGGTTTAGGGTTAAGGGTTTATGGTTCAAGGGGTTGGGATTCAGGGTTCCCAGCATCCCCATAATGGGCTATCCTTGCTACCCTTTTCGGCTAATGCTTGTGCTGAGACTCGTGGTGCTATAGCCAGGTCAAGTTTCCAAACATGTAAGGGTGTTGTAAACAGACGTGAAGTAGCGTCTCGCTCTTCCCTTTTGAACCCGACGGGGGCGTAAGGGTTTAGGATTGTTGTGTTCGAGGTTTCGCGGATGGCGTCTTAAGGAAGATTCCCTGTGCTGCTCCTTCTCTACCATATGCTTCGCTGTCTGAAGCGTCTGAAGCCCAGACGCTTGAAAGGCTTCAGGGTTTTGGATTATGTCCACCATGCTTCTAGGCCCTATCTAGGCATCAGTTTAGTGTGCAGCAGCAGTAGATCGTGAGACGGGAGTTTCCGAAAATAGGGGGCCCTAATATAGTATCCGAAATAGTAAATAGTAGGATCCTTATTATAAGGACCCGCAAATTAACAAGGTACCCCTAATTTTCGGAACCTCCCAGATGAAGACAAGTGGTCGGAGAATCTTCGAGCTCCGTGTGGCCTGAGAACAGAAGCACGGCTAATCTAAGTCACATCCTGAAACCCTCGGGATCAAAATAGCCCAAGAGCCTTATACAGTATGGTCTTTGGGCCCAAAAGCCTTAATATATGAGTCCTTGGATCCCTAGGGAAACTGCAAGTGTGTGTGTGTGTGTCACATCATAATATGTCCTAAGCCCTATAAGTAACCCTCAACATGCTTCCGGGCAACAGCAAGTTCTCTCTGCATCTTCCTTTGCTGCTTGGTACTACCTAGACAAATCCACCAGGAATCTTGCAGCGTTATGCACGTTTTAGAGACTGCGAGGTTTTGCAAGGCCCCGAATACTTTAAAGAGCTTCGCATGAATTTCGAAGCTTCGAGCCAAACCCACGCCCGAACCTCCACCCCTAAACCCTGAACCGAAAGCCCTGCTTGCCGCAGGCCCGAGCCAACGCAGCGTTATCCCAGGCTGGAAAGACGTGGCTCGAGCTTGGCTTAATGCTAGGGGCTTCGTAACTAGGGGAGAGCAAGGGTTGAGTATGTAGATTATTAAATACTCGATGTATCGGGTTTTGTTGATGTATATTATATACTCTGTCTCGCTGTGTTTTTCTGTTTGTATGGGTATAGAGAAACTGTTAATTTGCAACCCCTATCTATGAACCAAATACGATACAATCACTGTCCATCAGTCCTTCTGAACTCTTGTTTATGAGACCCAGCAAAGCCCTTTCACGACCTCTGTATTGGTATCGTGGCAACTGGTGCCCCGCAAATGGTCATGTCTGCCCAAAGCATGGGTGTGGCGTTGGTGAGTGAAATCCCGACGTGTGCAATCCGTTATAAAGTCGCGACCCTCCCTGGTCCCAGGGCGACAATGCCGCTGCAGTGCTGTCCCTGACCTGTGCGGGCCAGGATCAGCAGGCCATTGTTTCAGAGGTTTGGGCCTAGCGTTTGTGTTTTAGGGTTTGCGTTTCAGAAGCCGGGGTCTTGCGTTTAGTGTTTGTTTTTTTCTGAAGGGGAGGAGGGTTTACAGTTTAGGCTTCAGGGGTGTCTGGTTTGGGGGTGGATTTTTGTCTGAGGTTTGGGTCTGCGAGGGTCGTGGCCCTCAGACCTGTTTGGCGTCTTCAACAAGTCAGGTTGAAAGCACAGCTGGCGTTTTTACCCACGCTGTAAGGTGGCGAGCGAATCCCAGGAAGTTATCTCTACAGCCACCGTCTCAAAAGCACTCCTGAAGCCCTATAGACCCCAATATCCCAATATCCCGTTCAGAACTATTTCGCGGATCCAGCCTTGCTGCCAACGTCCCCGAGTTGCATGAGCATGCCAGGCTGTGCAGCTGGCAGTGGAGGCAAGGGCTTAGGATTCCGTGTCTGGTATTTCGATTTTAGGGTCCTTGGTGAGACATGGGGTACATAGATTGTTCAGATTCTCGCACAAGCCTATCCTGCTTATCCTGGAAACATTGGCAAAGGGTATGCGAAGGGTTCGAGCATGAGGTCCCTTGAGTTTTCCTGTAAGCGGCGTGGGCAGAAAGACCATGTAAGTTCAGAACACGTAGCTGGTTGGCTTTATGCGGCGAACCCTAAACCGCCATTCCCCGAAATGCAGATGGTCGCGCAGATGGCGCGATGGTGAGGTTTAAGGTTCTGTTTCTGGTCAGCGCCCTCTCGAAGCCATCTATGGCCGATTGCGAGTCATGAGTTTTAGGGGTTTATGGTTGACACAGGGTTTAGGGACCTCCCTGCAAAAAAGGTTCCTTAATGTTAAGAGCCCCGCACTGCCATTTCCAATTATTTCATCGCTGCAATGCACAGCCCTGTGGAGCCCACGTCCCCTGCTTTGAACCCGTCACCGTCGCCCCTCGACATCCCAGCTCCAAGCACGGTTCAGGGTTTAGGGTTTAGGGCTTAGGGTCTAGGGTTTAGGGTCGCCCTCGGCATTTCCGAAGGCCTTCCTCCAAGATCCTAACACCATAACCTCGAATCTCACAGCACAGCAACAGCCAACACAGGTAAACTGAGCCGCGAAATTTTGAGCATCCATAAGCCCTACATAAACCCCAAAACCCCTAGATCTTGAACCCTTCAAAAACCAAAACTAAAAGAGCCTCAAATCCTGAAGCCCTGAAGCTCCCAGCGCTGAACCCTGCAGCCCGAAAGCCTCAAAAAAAAAAAAAAAGCCTCCAACCCTACTATACCTGACAACCCCCCCAAAAAAAACCCTCCCCTTCTCGGGTTTAGGGTTTAGGGGTTTAGGGTTTAGGGTTTAGGGTTCCCTCCCAGACCCTTAAACCCCAGAGCCCCTAAACCCTGAACCCCCTTTCCCAAAAACCCGTAAACGGCAAATTCTATTCAAACCATCCCTACATGCTTAAATCCTACTTGCAGATAAGTATAGTTATACCTCATTTTTCACGTTACTTACTAAGGCCTTAGATCCCCAATACCCAACCTTTAAACTTTTTGGGTT